AAACCGAAACTGCCTCGGAATTGCCGGTTCCAGATCTGAAACTGCTTTAAGCGGTTTTGGTTCCGGTTTTTATTTTTTCGTAACCGCTACCCGCTGGGTATCCGTCGGAACCAGTTTATTTATTTATATATATATATATATATATATATATATATATATATATATATATATATATATATATATATATATATATATATATATATATATAATACATTATTTATTGTTATTATATTTAATATATTTATTGTTTACTATAAACTATAAAATTGAAAACAATATTAACAAACCAATTTAATATTTTGTAAAATGCTGCCAATTTGACCGGTTATCACATCCCTCAACTATTTTATCACTTCTAAGGCCATGCGGGAAACAGGTGCGCATGGCTTCCCTCTCACCGGAACACCGCACCGTCGGTGAGGGGAGCAACCCGCGGGAAGGAGGTGGGGGAGGGGGTGCCGCACTCTCTCTCTCTCCTGTTTCTATTGGCCAGTCTTTTTTTTATTATTTTTTTTTAATATTTATAAAATTATATACCTACTAAAAAATGTAAAATATATATCAAAATTCATGGTTTTTAATTCCCTACAAAATGAGTATAATATATGTATGAAATATATTTTTTTTAAAAAAATAAAAAATAGTGAGGGGAGTTTCTCATACATTCCTTGGGTTTTAGTGAGGGAAAGAAAAATGGAGGAAATGGTGACGCGACAGGAAAAAAAGTGAAGGAACTCCTCACCCACGCCTTGCGGTCTAAATGTTGTCACATATTTCGTCCATTAACCGTTTGTCTCTCTTTTCTCTGAGTCAAAATAAATAGCCCAAGTTTCTTGTTGAATTATATCAAAATTATAGATGATCATAATTATCACTATAAAAAATTTATTACAAGCTTAATTTGTAATGAAACGTATGGAAGTAAAAAGTTTAGGAAATAGTTAAATAACATAAAATAATGAAGAGTAAAAATACAAAATGGAGTTGGATTCACACACGAACGCACCCCTGTCAGCAACTGTAAAAACATTAAAAAATAAAAACTTTCCACACTCACACCAACACATTTTCCCCACGCATATTTAAAGCTCTTTTTTCGTATACTTAACATGATTTCTCCCTCAACCTTTAACCAATTTACATCACAGTACTTCTACTTTAAAGTTTCTCAATTTAAGTCGAAAAATTACTTAACGTTCGTTCGTTTGGTCTCTCTTTTATTTAATAAAAATGGTCGCAAAATGGAAGAGTCAAATGTCAAAGCAAACAACTTTTTGGTACATGTCGAATTGAGTAAGGTCGGGTCAATTTGACCCAAATTACTATTTATCGAAAAAAAAATCAAATAAATGTGTCAAACAAACTTAAAATTATATAAATTATTATAAGTTTTCTCATATCGATTCATTCTGTCAAAAATCAAAAATCAAAATTATCACGTTTGTTTTATTATATTCTCTGACCACCAAAGTGAAAAATAATTTTCATAAGGTAGATTATGTATTATTGTTTTCTACATTTACTTTGATTTATTTTATCAGTATGTTTTCTTTCAAAGCCCTGATTTTTTTATTTTGGTATTCAAATATGTCGTTTTTTATCTCCCTAAATAAAGGTAAAAGGTATGTTAAAATGTAGTTATATTCATCATATTTTAGCTAATATATGTTAATTTAATGCCTTTGATATTTTATATGTTAATAGAATACATTCATCATTTCAATTTTCATAAACATTTTACTTCAATAATTAATATTATAAAAAGCTAAATAAAAACATTGTAATACATTTAACAATATAGCACAACTTTGGGTTTTCTAACATGAATATGCAATATGATTATAATTTTGTATTATATTTTTTATTTATACTTAAAAAAACAAATTTGAAGATTGCGTGTAGTTACTAGGAACTAGCGATACATTCTCCCGTGTTGAGTGTTTACATTGACAAATTAAGGTTCATCGAACACCCCAAAAGTTAGAAGGACGGGATATGTAAATTTCACCCAAAGTTTAAACACCAAAGTCCAAAGCCCCCTTTATTAGAAGCCACCCAATTTTCCAACTCCTTTTCCAATTCTCTCTTTTTTCTTCCTCTTTCTCTGCCCCCTCTCTCTTCAGGGCTCACTGCTCAGCCCATAACAACCCTTCTTATCTCGCCTCCTCCCAATCCTCCGCCTTCCACGGCGGCGGCACCATTTGAGAAAAGAAAGAGCACCGATCATGTCAAGTTTATATGGTCAAAACTACTCACCTGCTAGAGCCGCTTCATCTCCACATATATGGGCCAATCCAGATGTTGAAAGGTATAATCTTCTAATCATATCAAAATATACAAATCTGCTTCTTTTTTCTTCTTTATGTTTACCCACTTTAAGAAGTCTTGGTTTTGTTTGCTTTATGAATGATTCTATATGATTTTCGGGTTCTTATATGCTTGCAGTTCATATCTGGCAGAGTTACTTGAAGAAAAGCTGAAGCTTGCCCCTTTCATGAGAGTTCTTCCCATTTGCAGTAAATTATTGAATCAAGGTTCAACTTTTTGTCACTATTTGGATCTAGTTTTTCAGTTTCAGATTGTTTCTCGCCATGTTTGCGCATAACTTACAATCAGTCTGTTCTGGGTATTTCTGACTTCTAGTTTTTGTTCCGAATCTTCAATTCCTACAACACATTTTCAATTTAGATGTCGATTTCAAGATCTTTTAAGTAATTCCCATTGATTCGTTCTTCAATCAATCTTCGAATGCATATTCATTTCTTACCTCTATTGGATTGTTTGTTTGTCGTGAAGTCAATTGAAGGATCAAAAGGGTTCTAACTTAAGTTAAATTCCAAAAAATGCTGATTGATTATGTTCTTGATTAGTAATGTTATTACTCTATTTTATCTACAGAGATATTCAGGGTTTCAGCAATGATACCAAATCAAGGTTTTAACGACTTTGACAGAATGCAACGTGGTAGCCAAAGTCCTTTAAATCCTTTAGACGTTATCCCTGATGTCGAACCTAATGGTCTAATCCGTTGGAATGGAAATGCAGGTTGGAGTCCCCTTCAACAAGAGGTGAATACTGAACACTTATAATCTACTTCCATTTTTTCAAGTACAATAACTTATTCATTTGGTATATGACAAGTGCTTACTCATTTAAACATACATGATGTTAAGAAATTGGTTGAATTTGTTAACTTACAAATGCTTTTGTTTCATAGAGATTAGGCGTGCCACAAGGATTACCAATGGATCACTGGAATTCTGCACCAGCAAGCCCAAGTTCATTCATCACAAAGAGGATCTTGCGTTTGGATATACCCGTTAACAGTTTTCCAAATGTATGTTATTCATCTTTTAAGAAATTCATCAAGACATATCTTGACAAAAATGGAAAGACTTAATGATGTTTTTTTCTTTGTAAATGTCAACAGTTTAACTTCGTTGGGAGGCTTCTGGGTCCTAGAGGCAATTCATTGAAGCGGGTAGAAGCCTCAACTGGATGCCGTGTCTTCATCAGAGGCCAGGGCTCCATTAAAGATCCTGAAAAGGTAATATTACTCCTAATATCGAAAGCTTTCATCTTCAAATCTTTATAAGTTCTGGGTACTTACAGATTTCACGTAAGTTTCTGAACTATGTTTTAGAAATTGTTTCTCTTTTTGTGAAAGAAGGTTAGAATTTTCCTAACATGTAAATATACGATCTTTAAAGTAGTTATAAGGTCTGGTACTAACAAATTTCACTTATAATCTTTTAAATTATACTTTAGAAATCCTTCCTTTTTGTTGAAGGAGGTTAGAATATTCCTAACATGGAAAAATCGGATTTTTAAGTCTTTATGGGTATGAGTACTTGCAGATTTTACGTCAATTCTGCAGGGTGTGTTAAAATCGCTTCTTTTTTTGCAATAAGAATATCATGGAAAAAATCCGATCTTTTAAGTCTATATATTACGGGTACTTGCTCTGATTTCACGTAGTTGATAGAATTGTGTTAAAAATCGTTTCTTCCCTTTTTTTTGTTGGTAAAATCGAGGCAAGAATATGAAAAAAAAAATAGAATCTTTAGTCTTTATAAGTTGTGGGTACGTGCAGATTTTATGTAATCTTTAAAGTTATGTTGGTTTTTTTTGCAAAAAAAGGAGGAGAGTTTGAGGGGTAGACCTGGCTATGAGCACCTTAATGAACCACTTCACATCTTGATTGAGGCTGAGTTGCCTGCAACCATCATTGATGTACGTTTGAGACAAGCACAGGAAATCATCGAAGAGCTGCTCAAACCCGTGGTATGTTTTCTTTGTTGTACCCCATGCAAATACATGTGTACACCATGTATATATATATATACCCCTACATATAAACAAGCTTACAGATATTCGGTTTTTGTTTCTCAGGATGAGTCTCAGGATTTGTACAAGAGACAACAGTTAAGAGAACTTGCTATGCTAAACTCCAATTTCAGAGAAGATAGCCCGCAGCCCAGAGGCAGTGTGTCACCTTTCGGTTCAAGTGCCATGAAACGGGCCAAAACTGGTTGGTGACAAACCCTGTACGTCCTTCTATGCATAATGTACAACCCCTTGATGTATGATGTCCATTCTTGGTGGGCTCGAATGGTGGATCAATACAATCTTGCTGAAACCAGATGACGAACAAGGAAAGAGCTTGTTGTAGTTTTGTTTCACTTTTTTTTTTTTGATTGATGTAGCTGCTTGTCGTTTTTGTTTTTAAAGTAGAAATAGTAATTGGATTTATTTGTTATTGACATTTTACATATAAGTTTATGTGTTGAAAATTGTTTGTGAGCTTGAAAGATGATTGTTTTTAAGTATTCCTTGGTGAGAGAAACTGCATACCCTAAACATATGTAGGTTGATCCGATAAAAGCTTTGCAAGTTGCAACCCAACGGCGCAAAAACCCAATCAATGCGGGGAAATCAGAATTCTGTTGGATCAAATCTCTTTTTTTGCGGCATTTTCGCCCATAAAATGATGATGTTGCTATTTTGACCTTTTTAGATCTGAAAGCTTGATTTGTTTGATCAAATCGGAGATGGGGAAGATTCCGGTGAAGATAAAGGCGGTGGTGTATGGATTATCCCCGTTTCAGCAGAAGGTGATGCCTGGTTTATGGAAGGAACTCGCCAATAAAATCACACACAAAGTCACCGAGAATTGGCTTAGCGCTATACTCCTTGTCGGCCCTGTCGTTGGCACCTACTCGTAATTCCACAACCCTCTTTTTTTTTTCCTTCTTAATCTAGTAGGTTTATTAGTTAAAAACTAGAAATATAATTAATTTTATTTACTTTTATTTTCAGCAATGTATTTTTTCCATCCATTTTATACAACATATTTCATACCTCAAAGGCTTAAACAATGGGGAAAGTGATTGTTTGAAATTGAGGGAAATTAATATATAGCTATTACACATATAAAAAAAAGTTAGTTTTCTAATGTAGAGATCGACATAATATAAATTGTTCTCTTGAGCATTTAATCCAATTATCTATCAAAAAAAAAATTATATGGGCAACTTTCTTGTATTTAAATAACGTCAGAAATTGTTGTATATAATTTATGGATGCAGGTACGTTCAGAATTATAAGGAAAGAGAGAAGATGGAGCATAGATATTGAAACTAAAGTCACAACTTCGAGTAAACTTGAATAAAATGGTTAAAGTTGGTTTTATCCGATAATTATTTTTTAGGAGAAAGTTGCTTATAAACTTATGGATAAATTATATCTTTTTCGTCTTTGTGATTCATTGAAAATCCTGAAAAGAATCGTTATCGCATTTTGTAACGTTTTTCCTTTAGTGGTGGATGACATTTAAAACATGGTGTCATGGTGACTCTTGTGGGTCTATTTATAGTTTTAACTTTTTATTGTTTTATTGTTTTTATAAATTATTATTTTTAAGAATATATGACTCTTTGGATCGACGAAACCCTCCGACGTTTCTACACAAAAAAGATTCTTTCATCCATGTAGCTCCACTAGTTCTTGGAGACCCCTCTTTGTTTGGAACTTCTTGTCATGTTTATATTATTATTTTTTTCTTGCTTTTCTAGAGTTATCTTTTTTAAAGATTCTAATTGACATTTTATTTTATAATTTTGCTATTGTTTCTTAAAGAATGGATATTTAGATTATATTCAGAATGGATGTTGTGAATGGACCTTGGGGTGGGGGTGCAATTGGGGCTAATTATAATCTTTTAATCGAAGGTTCGCAAACTTATTTTTGTAACGTTTTACACAAGCCAAATTGCCAAAATGTAGTACAAAACTACACATACTTGTAATCAAGAGAACAAAAGTTGCAATACATAAAATAAGATAGATGAGAATTTCAAATGGAAAACCACAATATAGATCGTAGAGTGGTTCAACCTGAATATGAGGCTACGACCATTTTTGTGATTGACTTGTTAAACAAATCCATTAAATCCACTAAAGATCACTTCTTTTGGTGGAGTGAAAACCTTAATCAAAGACTAATCTCTTTACTAGAAGATGGTGTGTGATCACGCACACAAATAATAAACGGTAAGTGGAGACTTAATATGTGAAAAATGTCAATGTAAGAACTTCAAGGTGTTCGAGAAAATGTTATAGAATTAAGAGGCAAAGAGTTTCTTTTGCTATTATCAAAACCTTGGGTGTCAAACTTGAAAAAGATCTTAAACGCCTTTATGAAGATTTGATTAGAATCTCCTTCAATCACCATTCCTTATGCATTGTTAATCGTTCTTGACGAGTCAAAGGATCCGTTCAACAAAAAATATGTTTCAAATGACCGTTGACATTTGAGTTCCCATAAGGGAATGTTGGACTATCGACTAATATACCAACTTCGAATAACATTTTCCCTCTAACACATCTGTTATGAACAAAAAGTTTAGGTTTTTATAAAAAACATCTCCACTTAGTGTCTAGTATTAACTTTGTAGTAGTTTACAAATATATTTTTAACAATGAATTAATCCTTCAAAATGCTTGAGTTGTATATCTCCCACTTGAATCTTATGGCACACAAAATATATGGCCAACCACACTTCCCATACCAATTTTTGTTTGATTTTTTTTCTCTTGAGGTCACTAACTTGCATAATGTTCCTTTATAAATTACAATGAGACTGTTAATAAAAGTTATGTGCTAACTAATAATTAAATACAATTTATACACACTTACATCAACAATCCTTTCTTGATGATGACAAACGAGATGAGTTTTTTGTTACAGAAAATAAGACGATTTCATGAAAATCACCTCAAACCGCTTAAATTTAAATCACATATTCGAACTCTTCTATTTTATTGAAGAAAAAGGACAATATGAGTTTTTGTAATAAAAATAAGAGTAAATTATAGAAATGATCATGTGATTTAGTCGAATTCTCAGTTTTGATCCTTAATTTTAAAATTTGATAGATTACATCCTGTGGTTTGTGAAAATTGCATCGTAAGTCCTTGGTCTATATAAAAAGACCAAATTGCCCTTTCTTTCTTTTTTCTTTTTCTTTTAACAATTTATATATATATATATATATATATATATATATATATATATATATATATATATATATATTATTGTTTTTTTATCTTTATTTAAATAGAATTAAAATAGATTATTTATACAATTATTTTTATTTTTTAAATGAATTATCTAAATTATATAAAACCATATTATTATTATTATTATTATTATTATTATTATTCATCTTTGTTTTTGTGATTTAAAAATCTTTTAATATTTTTGACGTTTTATTTAAATATAGTTTTTAATGTTTTTTTTTTGACGTTTTGTTCGTTTAAATTATATAATGATTTTTTGACCGTTTTTCCGAATAAACAAATTAAAACAATAACCCGAACATGAACTAAAATTTTCATTCGTTTAGTTAAACGAACGAATATGTAACATCCATATTTCCAGGTATTATGTTTGATCATTTATTCTTTTGAGTAAAAGGGAGGGACTCGACGAGTTGAAGCGTAGACTCGTTGAGTAGGATCGCATGTGCTGACTGGATTAAGGAACGGACTCGACGAGTCGGAAAGGGTGGACTCGACGAGTCCGCGCTGTGGATTGAAACCCTAATTCTCGGGGTCTGTGCCCTATTTAAAGGCCTTTATGGCCTCTATTTGCGGCCACTTCACCCCTGAGAAACCCTAGAGAGCAGAGAGATCGTTTTTGGTGCAAGAGGAAGGCTAATTCATCATTATTTGGTGTGCTTTAGAAAAGGGAAGGGAGGATTTCGAGCTAGGCAGTCTTGTGGGACTCAAATCTTCCATCATTTGGTGCAGAGCTACTGTGGGAGGTAAGGATTCATGTCCATTTTCATTGAGTAATAGATTTCATGAATCTAGGGCTTTTTCTCTTCTTTTTGGTAAGATATCTAGTGTATGTAATGTCCCCTTGTGTCAATATCATTAGATCTGGACCTTGAGAGGTCCAGAGAGTCCCTATTCTCCAGCTTTATGTAGTCCTTTATGAGTTTGGGGCTTAGGTTATCATTTTAAGGGTTATTTTGGCATATAGAGGTGATAGTGTGATGCATGGGCCTAAAGTTCGAACCTTTTCGTGATTATCATGCTTGGGAAGGTCAGATCTATAGATTGGAGAAGCAGATCTGACCTCAGAAGGTCATTTGAGTGTGAGCATGGAAGCAACTCGCCGAGTCCATAAGTGGACTCGACGAGTCGAGTCGGGGTTGCCCCGCGATTCGTAACAGGACGAACCCGTCGAGTGGAGGGATGACTCGACGTGCCAAGAGAGGCTGGAAGGATCTAGAGGACCCGCATGGACTCGCCGAGTCGCCCATGTGCACTCGACGAGTCGGGTCAAAGTTTGACCGTTGACTTCCTTTGACCTTAGGGTTTTGGTCAAGTCTGATTCAAGGGAGTTCAGGGAGGGGTAGAATGGCCTTCTACCCAATCTTTAGAAATGGGGCTATGAGAGAATATTGATTGCGAATGTTATTTGTATAATAGGAGGAGGCTAAGTCGGGACGTTGAGCTCGAGAGTTTATCTGACTTCATTGAGGTGAGTCTTCTCACTATACTGTACCTGGAAGGGTACCTATGTGTGACCGGAAGGTCTTATATGCTATGAGATGTATGAGTTGTATGTTGTTATGTGATATGTATGTGTTATGTATGTTATGTATGATAAGGACCGGAAGGTCAAGATGATATGGACCGGAAGGTCAATAGGGTACGGACCGGAAGGTCTACCGGGATTCGGGACGGAAGTCCCCTGAGACACTTGGATCGGAAGATCCCATAGAGTTATGGCCTGGAAAGGCGTATGTGTTGTATGTGGTATTTGGGGAACTCACTAAACATTTATGCTTACAGTTGTTGTGTTATGTGTTTCAGGTACTAGCGAGGATCGCGGGAAGGCGCCGGCATGGTCTGTACACACTGATAAAGAGATTTATGTACTTGAGATTTTGGGGTTGTTCATTGAGATATTATGTGATACAATGGGTTTTGTTATGAACGAATTATGTTTTAAAAATGAAAAATTGTTTGAAAATTTACGTTGTTACAAGTTGGTATCAGAGCCTTGGTTTGAGGGATTCGGATGCACCTTCAGGCGTATCTGAACTCAAACTGAGGATTTGAGTAAAAATTTTCAGAAAAGAAACAAATTTTTCTAAAAGAGTAAAAGATTTTGAGAAAGGCAGAACGGAGCAGTGTGTACGATCAGACAGCGCCCGAACGGTGATTTCCCAAAATACCCTTACATTATGTGTTATGAGATATGATATGATATGTTATGCTGTTGGATTAGTGTCTAAGCCTGTAACCATATTTGGTAAGTACTTGACCCGATTGTGCATGGTCCTTTTGGGTTGCCTTCACCAAAGCAACTTGACTGGAGAAATAATAGAGAAAGAGGTTATTATGATTTATTAATATGTTATAAGAATAATATATTAAAGGAGAAATCATATTTGTTTAATTAATATTGGTCAATAATTAATTAAGAATTAATTTTGTGATCAAATGTAATTAATTAAACTAGAGGGGCTGAATTGTAATTATGTGATAGTTACAAAATATGGTAATGGTTATCCTAAATATGGGTTGAACGAATTCAAGGAGATAAGGATCCTTGAAATCGTCCAAAGGATAAAGGATAAGGGATTTCAAGGCTTATCTTATGATTGCTTGGTGGGCAAGCAACTAGATAAGGATAAGGACTGAAACCCTAATCTCTACACCTATATAAAGACCCCTAAGGCTCATGAATTCGTCCATGCCTTCCCAAGGGGTCCTAGGGATGAAATTCTATACCTCTTCCCTCTCTCTATTACCTCTCCATTTGCTCTTGGTGTTTGTGAGCCATTAGAGGTACTACACTTGTGGTACTTGCTTTCAAAGACAAGAAGATTCAAGATTTAAGTTGTTATTACAATATAACAACAAGAGGTATGTATTTCATCTTTCCTTGTGGATTTCGAAATTCCTAGAAGCCTTTTAGGGTTCTTCAAGTGTTCATAATGTTGTGTATCTAATAGTGAAAACATAGATCCAATTCTAGGGTTGCATGCACACATAGGATTGTTTGTACAAAACCCATCAGTGGTATCAGAGCCATTCGTTTTTGTTTTCAATTAGCTTTATTCAAATGTATGAACTTGACATACTAGGGTTTATAGCCAATAAACCCTAGGAGGCTAGAGATTTCGAGATTAGGGTTTCTATACCCTAATTTGCGAAATTTTGAAAGGGTTTTCAAATCCTTTCCTTAAGCCTCAAGATTTCGAAATCTAGGGTTTGTAAAATCCCATGATTTTCGAAATTAGCCTCTTCCCC